GCGTTTGCGACGGTGACTGTATGCCCTTCATTGCTGGAATATCATGTGCGGTTTCGACGGTAAGGTGGGTGCCAGAACGTGATCTGTTGTGCGGTGGCCGTGCGGCAGTATCTACACGCAATGGCCGCTGATGATCGTCCCCCACAACTGTGCCGTCCTCGTCGGAAGATCGCTGCTGATGGTGGGACATGTTGCTGTCCATGTCGTATGTCGGCTCTGGCCGCTCATAATTTGGTGTACTCATAATGGAGAGTCGCGCCCGAACCAAGGTTCGATAGGAAATCCGATCGAAAAGCTACTTCGGGAGAGCGATGAGGTAGCGACTGTGTTTTGATTTTGCGGCGATTTTTTGTAGATAACGCAAAATGCGATTGCTGAAACAATGGTATGCTTTTTTACGCCAAACCAGCAGTCAATGGCTTGCGCTCGCCCTTCCGGTGGTCCAGGGTCAAACGCGAACTGCTGCAACGGGATGACGTCAAGCTCGGTGCCGACGTATCCAGAAAATGTTTTAGCGAGTGACGAAGAAAAGTGGCGTGCCCTGTAGTGATTAATGTGCGGTAGAGGTGGTGAGAAAAGAGAAGACAACACTGTGGGATGGACAGCAGCGATGTTAGCAAGTGAGATGTGGAGCTCGCCCGGGGTTAAAGGAGCAGGAGCAGCGCTGGGCCAGGGATTATTTTTGGGGACACCCGATCTGCGATTCCTGAAATTCGACGCCAACCCTTCGACAGTGACTGGCGCATAGAAAAATGGGTCATGGAACCGACGGCGGACGTGTTATGGCCATGGCAAGCACACCGGGTGGGCCGCATCGCTTTGTCTAGAATCTCTGTTGGGACCGAATCTGGTACACAAAGCTGTAAGGATGCGCGTCTGCGCCAACCACAGCCATCGAATATACTAGAATGGCCCTCAACCACGCCTGCGGCTATCTATCTCGGTCGAAAATGCCATGACAGCGGCGTCGCATGCGCCGTTAGGTCTGCCAGCACAAGCTCTTAGCGACAGCCACCGACGTCACGCAGCATCGCAATGCAGGTCCCGGACGCTTCCTGTGTCGGTCCCTCAAAACTCTGCAAAGTGTGTCTATTTTGAGCGTCTGCACAGTCGATGAAGGTCGCGCGACAGGGCGAAAGTTGGAGAGAGGTGCGGCTCGGCCGCCCAGTCGGTCGTGACGCGTTCTAACTTTCTCAACCGTTGTTCTTTATCGCCTTTCACATGCCTAGGAAGCCTTATCCTTAATTTCCAGGGTCATTGCCGTTATCGCGGAAGGCTGTTTCAAACCGCCCGCGGCGTTCGAGAAAAGCTTGTCGCGTGCCGATCCTAATGCCGCCCCTGCATACCAAGGCTCTCCTTGGATCGCGTCGTGGGGGTCAGGATCGATGCACAACACTGACAGCACCAGAGATCTCGACTCCAGCGTGTCAGCGTCCAGACCCGCTGTATCGCACTGTCTCCATCTTTCTCCCCAGATGTGATCCAACGATGTGCGCAGGATGAGCGTTCCCTGTGCTGCATCAGTTCCAGACATCGGATAAGGCGGCAACTACCTCACACCTCGTCGTTGCACCAATTTAACGACATGGCGGACGGAAAACACTCCACAGCGTCTCCATATTGACGAGTCGTGATTTCAACAGCGGACGTGTCCTCGCAGGAAGAAGTCTAAGCGATACGTCCTCAGCAGTTGTGGTGGAGGAAGGCCGCTCGGCTCGTACAAAGCCCGATTTCCGCCTGTACTAAACGTGGTGGGTCGCTCTGCAGTATGTCATAACCCGTATCCTGTGCGGAAGCGTCTTTGGTAACCTGCCGTGATGTAAGGTAGAACAACTCTTAGTGCACTACGTCAGAGCAGCATTTATCCAATTGATCGCCGCGGAGCTTTTGTTGCGGTGTCGACTTGGGTGCTTCAAGATTAATGAACGGATGATGGCTAAGGACCTCACACCAACCCGTGGACCCTTGAAGACATCATCATCAACTAAGAATCAAAGAGGTATGCAGTAAATCTTCTCTTAGAACACAGCTATTGTTGTCTCTGCTCCCAATGATGATCAATATACTATATTCGCCATATACGTATTCGACAGCTGTGTATATTGCGAAAGAGCATGCAAGAAATATTTCCATAAGACAAGTGAGCAGTATAGACTATCTACGACATCATGTCCAATGGAAGATCCGGTAGGCTGCTCGAGAATATGATATGTTTGTTCGCTGTCGTTAAAGGAACTGTTGCATCCAACGGTCGAATGCCATGGCTTGCCGAAGCACCATTGTCCGGTGCAGTATGGGACGATACACTACTACATCGGGCAATATGCGGCTTCCGTCGATTGTAGCGTCCCTGTCTGTGAAAAGCAAAACTCTCGTAGTAGTTCGGTTCAGGGTGAAATTGGCGAGGGGACCCTCTTCACCCAAAATTCGCAGCAATCGATGGACGTGAGTCAACTGCCTATCTGAGCATGCATTCATTTAGTCTGCTTTCTGTTTGAGTAACGAGTGGACAGGCAATGTTTGAAAAGGCGTAATGTGTTGTAGTGCCGCAGTGAAGTGGATAAGAAGAGCCTGCAGCACAAGAGAAAGCCGAAGGGCGAAATGAAGCTCATGTCCTTCATGCTACATTCTGCAGGAATCTACACCACAGTGAACCTTCCCGATTGGGCATGAAGTAATTTTGTTTACAAATCTCATGTCTATGATAAATACATTTAGGGTAGAGAAGGCAGGAGTCCGCTAGATACGCTCACTATACTACAGGGAAGTACAAAGGTGAGCATTGAGGAGTGAGGTGAGCGGACTCCATCCACACCTGCTATAATCCACGCTAACAGGTTGTTACCTAATGCAGTAACTGTATGCTGGCAAGCCTCATATATCTTGAAGCATGTATGAGTAGAGACGAAGGAAACGATCAATGTTGTGATGTTGTTTGGAGACTGCTCATCCCGATTGGGCTAAAGTCGCGAGGACATCACGTCATACCAGAAGGAGGAAGGCGCGACGCGAGCTCTCAGATGCGCATCTTCCCCGCAAACTCTCTTGACTTTTGCAACCACACAGTCACAATGTTCAGCCTACCGAGAATATCACTGCCTTCTTTTCTTCGCGCCGGCGAAGGCACGCATCTCACCGTCGGCCTCCCCTCCGTAGAAATTCACGACATCGAGACCTCGGCAGAGAAGCGACCGCGAACTCTCAAGCACCTACTCAAAGCGAACCACGCCAACTACGCAATCATATACCACAATCTCACTTTTCACAACCATACACCGCACGTATGCTGCTCCTCCTGTAAAGGCTGTAGCTGCTAAGCATGTACCCTAGATCCTGGGATCGGCTTACCTTCTGGGAGGCACCGCAGAGCATCTGAACGAGATCTACGAAAGAGAGGCGGAAGTGCTGGAACCTTGGCATGATGCGCCTGGTGAGATAACAAAGGACGACTGGCGAGAGTTTCTGGGGAAGCGCGAGTAAGTAGCTGCATGATGGTGCGATTCAATAGGATCAGGGTCAGTCGCTAATGGGCAGCCAGATACCAACGCGCATTCATTGATTTCTTCGAGGATCAGCTCGTGAGCAAGAAGTACGATGTTGAGGAAGTTCTTGAGGAGTTCTTGCTCAAGGGCAAAGAACCGCTGATCAACGGCCTCATTTCAGGACGTAAGCTTGCGCTCTTCCAAAGCCCGAATATCGCTAATCCCATGCAGTTGCGCACCCTCTCATTCATCTCGGCTACGCTTACGAGCTCAACTCCACGACCGTTGCGATCGAAGCCCTAGCGATGGGCTCTTGCTTCTACAGTCCGCTCCATAAATACATCGACGATCCAAAATACACGAAGCCCAGCCCTCATGAGGCGACTGGGAACCACACCGGGCTCGTCAATTTGTTGGACAAAGTGCGCAAGGATAAGCGCTTCGATGGACTGTACGATCACCGCAGCGGCGATATCACGAAAGTGCTGGAGGAGCGTGAAGAAGCCTTTCTGGAGTACTGGAATGCTTGGGAAATTACCGCCCCGAACGAACAGTTCCAAGCTGCTCAGGAGGTCGGCCTGGGGCTTTTGACTGGAACACCACGACCTGAAAAGGGAAAGTACGACTTCTTCCTCGTACATGTGCTTACAAGCTCTCACGCTATTCGCATCCTTCTCCCGTTGATACCGGCCAAGTTTCATGTCAGTCTTCTACGGCAATGGTGGCTGTTCGCGCTAGCTGTATACATTGCCCAGACGAGGCCAGAGATCAATATGGGTAAAGCGATGACTGGTGACGACAGCCAGAAGAAGACTTGGAAGCATGTTGTGGACAAGGCCTTGAACGGACCACATTCGACTGATGCGCATTACGTCAAAGGTATGTCACGAGCCTCTTGCCGAATCGCAGTGTTCTTGACTGACATGATGCAGCATTGCGTGCGTTGAAGGTAGCGGAGGAGACATGGGAGAAGGGTAGTGACAAGTCAAACCACTGGCTCAGTGCAGCAGTCAAGTTCGCGGACGAGTTTGAGGGCTGGGGAGGGTTTGGAACAGCGGAAGACGAAGTAAAGATGGGATATCCTGAGAAGCAGTAAGGTTTACTATGCAGAATGGGAAAGATAATGTATGCGCAGGTCTGGTTTCATGGAACGTTCCCAACCCGCTTGACGGTGACGCACTCACGTGGTCTGATGTGAAACTGGCGCAGAACTGATCATTCACTACTTCCTGCCTCCTGTCTGCTGACTCCATCTCCTGGCGACAGTCACCATCATTATCCATAGCACGCAATACACTCTAGCACATGACCGCAAGGACTACCTACTTCTCTCCTCTGGAAGACCGTGAGTACCAGCCTCCGCCATCCAGCTGCATTCAACCCTACGATGGACCCAAATCCCCTTACCACCACTCCAGCTCTATGCACTCAATACAAAGTTTACTGGCGAGAGTGCGGCCACGAGTACAGCAACGTCGGCGATGTAGTCCCCTGCCAAGCAGCTGCGAACAACCTCCCATGTACATGTAGGACAAATCTAAGAATCGTGCGCGACACGACTACTTCTCGAGGCATAGATGGTCATACTAGAGTGCTGAGTGACGGAACTGAGACTGGGTTTTGCAGGCCGTGTAGATTGAGCAATGAGAGAGAGAGGAAAAAGGAGGCGAAAAAGCAGAAGAGGAAGGTGAGCAAGGCAGAGAAGGGTAAGAAGGTAGACGGTGGTAGCAAAGTCAGTGGAACGAGTGGTGAAGGTAGAAGCGGATTCGGAGGTGGGTTTGGAAGGGAGCGGAATGTTAGGGTGGAGAAGACGTATGTCAAAGTGGACGGAGGTGGAATTGGGAGTAAAGATGACTGGGAGGTGGGGATGCCGCCGAAGACGATTAAGCAGTACCAGAAGGATTTGAGAGAGCTTAAGGAGAGTGGTCAGAGGGACAGGAGAAAATCGATGGGGTTGTAGTTTGGTAGCGGACAGAGAGGTGACTAATGGCTCGATATATAAGAGTTCTCGTTGGCTAGCCAAGCTTGAAACCATGGTCAACGTCCTCGCTTTTCAAATATATTTTCCATTTCAACTTGTACATAAGAAAGCGTCATCGCAAGCACTTCACCCGCTCTTTACATTTCATCAACAAATACCACAGCGACATTACCTAAGACAATTTCGTAACACCGATTTAGAAGATGTCTAACATGTCACTCCAACCACTGCGGCCAACGCGCCCACAAGCAATCCAAGCAGATCTCACCATGACACGAGAGCTCCTCCGCGTCTTATCTCGCGGTGGAAACGGCCATCCGCTCCATCACGACTCCCTCTACCAGTCCATCTACCTATCTAGCGCGATGGCCTCACAACTTCGTTACGATTGGCCAGTCCTCCAGGCTCGCGCGCTCGCCCCTCTCTTCCTCAGTCTCAAACAGAGATATGAAGTACAATCCAGGCACTACCGGGCTTGGAGGATGTTGGTCACCAAGGGCCTTGCAACAGAGGAAGCGATTCGTCTTCCGATTGATGAGCGCAGCTCGGTGAACAAGCCTGCGGTTTGGAGGTTGCTTGATAGACTCTCTGCTTTCCCGAAGTTTGGGGCGGTGGATATATTGGAGGTGGGAGAGTTCAAGTGTCGATGCCAAAATTGCTCTAGAATGGCATTAGCGTTGAAAGAAGAGAGGGGAGATGTGTTTGTGCAGCCAGGGTACTGGTTTGCGGCGGTCGTGTTGAGGTCAGATTGCGACATTGAGAGTGTAATGGAGGCACTGAAGACATGGGGTGGGTTTGGAGAGTGGGACGCGGGCCATAGATGCTATGTGCCTGATGAGAAGCTGAATGAGGAGTCGGTGTATGTTGAGAAGGTCGAGAAAGAGGAAGACAGCCTTGAAAGAGGAAATATAGGCATACTGTTCGGAGAGGACATAGAAGAGGCAGAGGAAGAGGAAGAGAACGATGTTGAGAACACCGAAGATATCAATGAGTTACCTCGACTACAAACCGAGATCGACAGTGAGGGCGAAAGCTCCACAGGCATCGAAACGCCGCCTTCGACAACCGAGGAGCTTGTAGATCCCACACTCACGCTGTCACCCATACCGAAACCAACGGATCCCTGCCCAGAACACTGTCCCTCCCGCCGGCGTCGCCTCCGCGATGACATCCGCAATCCGAAATATCCATCGTGTACATACCACTGCCATAATCCACACGCCTCCTTCGAATTCGAGCCGAGCGGCGAGCAAGTCGGCTTCTGGCTTCCCCACGGACTGCAGGATGAACAAACACGGAAAGAATGGACAGTGGCGACTAACAAGAGAATGAGGGACTTTAGGATGGCATGGAGAAGTCTGTTTGGGAATGACTGTGCGGGTGTGAAGGCAACTATAGAGGTTCAGCGGTGTGCGTGGGATTTCATCAGAGCGAATTATGGGTATAGTGAGCGGAGGAACTGAGAAATTGCTTCTGAGGTGGTTTACGTATGTAATGAGTCGTAGAATACGATAATTGAATGTCGCGCAATATGGTTCGGCCTGAGTATGTGTTACCTAGTGTTCAGTCCACTGGAAAATCTAGCCCAGGTTGCGTGACGAACTCCTCGTCTCCGTCAAGACTCTCAACTCAAGCGAGATATTTGCAGCTACCGATCGAAGAATATTGAAATTGTTAGCTATCTCGGGTAGCGTGCTAAATGGAGAGACTCCCGAGGTCGATTCGGAGCTCGGTAGCGCGTGGCATGGCCGGCTGCCTGCAGAATTTATCCGCCGGACATGAACGCTGTTGTGTACATTCACACCCTGCTAGGATGTGCCGATGTGGTGGTTCGAAAACGTCTCATAGTGTATCGTAGTACTCAATCGCTCTTGCACCAAGTGCCATTCAGCGCGTTGCCCCTCGCTGTGCTCTAGCTCAATTAGTGTCTTGGCGTCATGTCATCATCACTTGGGCCGAGTTCCCATCCCCAGTCTCAACTCGCCCTTTGCAACACCCATCTCAACATCTGTATACCATCATCGCCAGCATTACCTAGATATACATGGAATATCTACCGGTGGCTCGATCCGTTCTTGTGAAAAGGAGCGTGTCCCTCCGTTCAGCCGCAAGCCAATCAGCCATGTCGCCAGGGTATGGGTGCAGTCGCAATCTCAAGAGGCCTGCTTCGCGAAGTCGAAGACCCTCGCTTTCTGACAGGCGAGCGTCACGCCATCGCGTTACAGGCGAACAGAGGCTTTTGTCCGACTAACCGACAAGGAAGACCTAACTCCAATGATGCGGACCGCTCCCGGCACTGCTTTAGTCTGAAGATCACATCCCAGCCTCGCCCTAATACTTGATACTTCCTGCGTACTTGATCAAAACTGTATTGCGCCCCGAGGCTTTGGGTAATCGCCGTCTAACCTAACTACTGGACTCGAGCAGCCGTTCAACAAGCGGCGCGCAACTTGAACCACCTCCGGATCAGTCAACTCCTGAGACAACGCCGTACACGTGGCTGTGTTGGTGTGCCCACTCCACACCAGTTGCAGCACACGTACGCCATCACAACGATAGGCCACATGCTGTGCCTCTTCGAGCTCTCCGCAAGGTTGTAAGGCTGCGCAGGTAGTTCCTCGACTGCCTCAGCAGAAACACACGAGGTGTCGAGCGTTCTGCGAGGTAATGAAAAGCTCTTTTAGCCGGCATGCCAGCCGCTTTATGCTCAACGCGACATTGCCACTATGGTCTCCCAACTCCTATACTTTTGCGCAGCTGCATGTGGCACAGCTCTGTTGTGCTACTCATCACGAGAAGAACCGCACTGGCGGGCCCGTACCTGATACGCTCACCCTGCTTCTTGCTACCCGCGCCGCTCACCCCACATTCCATACAACATGTCCGTTCTCGCAGTAGTCGTCGATCGGCCTCTGCTCAACAGCCTTTCTAGCGTATGTCTAAGACGATGTATCAAGTCATTGTGTCGGACTTGAATTGGACGCCCATCGTTCAGATCATCACTTGGTTCACTCTCGTAACCAGTCTCCTGGCCTTCTTGACGCATGCCGGCATCAAGTTCTACGTGTTTCGGACGTTGACGATCGAGTCATGGCTGGTACTTGCAGCCTTGGTAAGTGGAGCATCAAGATACTCAGCAACATTTGCTAATGATTATCGCCAGATATTTTGTGTCGCACAATCTGTCGCCGTATTGCTGCAAGCACACTACGGTTTCGGGAAACCGATCGCGACTTTGAGTGGATATCAGATTGAGTCGAATCTCAAAGTAACCTCCTACCTCCGCTTGAGTACCTGGTCCGGAGCGCTGATATGAGCGAAGAGCGAATATGCCGCAATGATACTCTTCATTGTCTCCCTCGGCTTCTCGAAGCTTGCTGTCGTAGCATTCGTCCATCATCTGACTCCATCCGAACTCCACCGCAGAATCAACTTCGGCGTCTTGGCTCTTATAATCTTGTGGCTGGTCTGTTCTGTGTTGGTCGCAGCATTCGAGTGCCGGCTGCCGCGACCATGGGATAGGACATTGGATCAGTGCATCGACCGTGTCAGTAATCTACGCAGATGCGTAGTCGGCTTCTGGCTGACGTTAGGCAGTTGACCTGGTGGAATACCGTCTCATGCTTCAATATCATGACAGAGCTCGCGATCGTGGCCTTGGAATTGGGCATAACAGCGCAACTTCACATGCGACGGCAACGGAAGGCAGCGGTCATGGCTTTGTTCTCATGTCGGTTACTGTGAGTACGAAGCTCTACACGTATCTCAAATACTGACAAGCTACACAAGAGTTCTTGTTGCTGCTGCGGTTCAGCTTAGCTTCTTCAATCGCGACAGCACCAATTCCCCTTTGAAAGACGATATGACACTCGGTTACTGGCGCTCGTCTATCTGCAACCAGATTGTGCAATGCTTTGCTATCGTCACTACATGTCTTCCGTACACCAAGCTTTTCATGGAGGGGTTTGAGTCGGGACTGATGCGATTGGACGATCTGCGCCGTCGAGGAGAGCAAACCTCCAAAGACGACAGCAAAGGATACCAACTCATGGACATATCGCGATCCGGACGCTCCGAAAATTCCAGACCCTCATACAGCGGGCCGGATAGGAGCATCCAAGTATCGAAGAGTTGGGCAGTGCAAGTAGAACCAGTAGCCCGCATGCCGGCTACAACAATACTGCAGTAAATCTATATCTATAGTATGTAACACAGTCCAAAAAGCACAATCCAACACATGCAAAAATTGGCGCGGCATTTCACAGACGCACATCCTTGCTGTACCCTCGTTTCGCAGTGCAGGTGGCACGGCACGCAGCATATGCGCCTAGGTTTCTTCCAGCAGGTCTTCCGGATTGGGACAACTGGTGCTACGATCCTATTGGTGAACAGGCTATAGGTCAACGGTCAGGATCATTGCGAGGATCATCTCGGCTACAATGTTGTGCATAAGCGGCCCTAGTTCTTCATCTATGCGGCTACTTGGTTCTAACGGCAACTCGGTTCTTTCTCTTTATCCTTCTGCTTGTTCTCTCTTTCATCTCCTCCATCATCGGTCGTCTCACGAGTTCCGCTTTTATTGCTGTATCGACTTTTCACTTGTATTCGTATTGGTGGCACGATGGCGTTCTCTTCGACTAAATCCAGTGACCCGGAACTAAATACTACAAGGCCACGTTCTAGCGACAAGCACGATGATCTTGCTCTGGCAAGATTGGGGAAAAAAGCTGTACTGAAGGTATGTATCCCTCTGCATTGATCACGAACATGGCTGATGCAAGTACAGCGTCGCTTCGGCTTCCTATCTATCCTCGGTTTCAGCTGCACCGTCTTGATCACCTGGGAAGGATCTCTTGTGTACGTCGTACTACCTCGTACTACACGTTGACACGTCGCTGACAGTTTCTCAGGTTGTTCCTGGTCGGCTTCCAGAAGTGAGTACACAGCATAACACAACACATCGACCATGAGACAGTTGT